CTAATATGAACACCATAAAAAAGGACATGATCACCTGAACAACTTTGCTGAAGACAGTAACCTTCTATACGGCCAGGATTTTGAGATACTGCTGAACTAATATGGCAACCATCCAATAGGACTTGGTGACTTGAACAACTTTGCTGAAGACAGTAACTTTCTATATGGCCAGGATCACGAAATATTCTATGTTGGACCGATGATCCATATATTATAGCGCCCGTTATAAGTAACATAAAAGTGAAGCGCATCTAGCGGCGTAGTTCCCAATTAAACCTTAATCCAATGACACAGGCTTGTTGGTCTATCCCAGTACAACAACTTTGTCCAAGACAGTATAGCTCTATATATTGAAACAAATGAGATAATCCCCCACAGCCTTTATTAGTGAAAATCCCATAAGCTGTGGGTATCCTTTTTCGTGGATAGTCCGGCAATAAGGGATACTGGCAATAAGGAATCTGGCAATAAGGATTCCTGACTGTACGCGTACTGAGCGCTTGTGAACCTCGTTGTAGAAAAATTGTTGTTTCATAGTGTTAATGGCATTGCTCACCTAATCTGTTGAGTGTATCTGATAGTATTTTTCTCAGCTTTCAGATGGTGACTAAACCGGTGGAAAATACTTTTTTTCTGATACAATTCAATATGGCGGCCAAATCCATGACGGCCGCCAAAACAAATGTCTATTCCTTATGAAAGCCCTATCTTTCCTCTTCATAATAACGTGTTGTTTACAAAATGGTTCCATATGAAATTTCAAAGATTTACTTAGTATGTCAAGAATTGCTAGAAATTCAACTTTTTTGAAAACTTGGTGAGGCTCCTTGACGAGCGAGGGGTCCATTAATTGGAGCTAAGGAAAGTGGCAATTTATTTTTTCATCAGTTTTGACCAATCGAACGGATATATTTAAATATTTAAAGACCATGTGTCAATGGCGGCCCAGTTTCAACGAGAATGCCAATTTGAGCCAATTTGACAGCACATCTCGCCCCTGGTTTAAACCAATTGTTTATTTTTTTTTGTTTTGTTTTCACACAGAAATCAATTTTGAGAGACTAACCCATGGTTTTATGTGCAAAGTTTAAAAAAAAAATTAAATAATTTGTCGATAAGTTGTTCTATGATTTTTAATAATTTTGAAGTGCCCAACTTGAAATTGTCACTTCTAAATAATTAAAGGGGGTCATTTTTTGTTATTTAAGTTTTGAACAGATTTTTTAGTTTTTTTTTCACCCAAAATAACTTGAATGTTTCTACCGTGTATATTTATCAGGAAAAGAAATTATTTTCTCATACAGAGCGGTTCCGAACAAAAAATTAAAGTTTTGTATCAACCCAACTAACATTTTTTGCATTGTAAACGCTTTACGCATTTCATTTATACAGCCTCAAGCAGTATTTAAATGTTATACAATATATGGAAACCTTTACTCAACCTCTATACAAGCAAATCTGGCGAACTTAAAGCCCGATTCAAAGTAAATTTGGACGCATTCAAGTGATCATAACTCAAGAATTAAACAACATACACGGTTGATCAAAACGTAAACAAAAAGGTATTTATTTAGCTTTCAAACGATATGTAACAAGTTATTACATTTCACCGTTTCGAACGAACTGTCGCACTTTACTTGTGATCGACGCCATCATGATATGTACAGTCGCTGGTGACACTGTACCGGTGAACTTGTTCCACTTTAAACGCATTTGTTGTACATTCGTCACTTCTTTACAGCATCTTCGAAGTTTTCGCTTCACAATTGCCCAATATTTTTCGATCGGTCTGAGCTCAGGGTAATTCGGAGGATTAATCTCTTTGGCGACGAAATTAACATTTTTTGCAGTATACCATTCTAGTACCTCCTTAGAGTAGTGGCAGCTGGCTAGATTCGGCCAAAACATAACGTTGGTCTTGTGTTGCCGAATGAAGGGTAAAATCCGCTTTTTCAGACACTCTTCAATGTAAACTTTCGACGTCATTGTATCTGATGTGATGAAAACCTTGGTTTTAAGGTCACAACTGCAGATTCCTTGCCAAATCATTAGTTTCCGAGCAAACTTATCAGCAAAAACAAATTGATACCTGGAAGGGACATCCCCACGACCAGTTACCAGGTAATATTTTCGTCCGGGGATTTGTTTATAATCCATTTTGACATATGTTTCGTCATCCATCAAAATCAAATTTCGTCAAAACTCGTTCGTATAGTAATCGTGCTCGCTTTTTGGCTACTAAATTTTGTTTCAGGGAGCAATTCGGATGTTTACTGGCACAAAATACTTATATCCTTCTCTTGAAAGGATGTAACGCACGGTGGAAAAGTTGGAATCGTATTTCTTTGCCAAATCACGTATGGAGACACCTGGGTTGCTTTTCACGTTCCTCAACACCTTTCTCCTCAGCTCTTTGTCCCTAGTGCCACTTTTATGATAGATGCGCTGTGCTCTATCCCCACTCAGAGTATGCTTGTAACGTTTGATTACAAGACTCACCGTTGACTTTGGGAATTTTAACACTTTTGCTATTTTTGAGGCAGACCACGAAGGGTTCTCTAGATGTTTGTGCACAATTAATTTTCTTTTCTCAAGTTCCATGATCCGTAATTTCGGGATGCGTCGATCAATCGAGAAGAACTTTTCACCAATTTCTTCGTCAATGAAACATCAACAAATGCCTGTCAAACGTTTTTTGTTCCAACCACCAGGGGCGTGGTGGTGTATTAAACTGTGCGTCCAGATTTACTTTGAATCGAGCTTTAGCCAGTTACTACTTATGGCTGTTGTGACGGTTGGGGCAAGCTCTTATTGCTTATCTAAAAAAATAATCGAAATTAGTTGTAAGCACACCACCATTCACATTGAACCGGAACCTGGGATCGAACTCGAGACGACCGTATTGGCGAACCTTAATGCTGCCAACTTCGCTACGCCAACACTTCGAACTGACGAAAAAAAATTACATGCCCTTCTACAAAAGATCGCTGAGTAGAGGCTTTATAATAGTGCACATGAATCACTTTTCTCGACTAGTTTTGTAAAGAAGCAGAGTAAAAGCTCTAAAACTGCACAAGTCCAAAAATAAACCTAGTTGACTGTAAAATAGATTCTAAAGCAGCGCTAACACAGTTTATTAGTTGAGTATAGGTTGTTTAGTTGTGAAAAAGCACTTTTGATGTTTATGTTATTCAGCAATAGTGGTTGGTTGTGTAGAAGCCCTAAAATAAGTAATATATTCGCTTTATTAGCTTTGTTTTGAAGCTTGAAGTTGAATGTTGATTAATATTTGCATGGAAGTGACATTATCGTGATTGAATAATGGTTGTGAAAAAGTTGAGTAAACGCTCTCCAAAACTTTTTTGATAGCTTCTGCTTGTAGCTGTATCTGCAGCTTTGTTTCAGCTTCTTTACAGCACAACGCTGGAAAAGTTGGCTTATAAAGCTTTTTGTTGGGAACCTTTCGATTTGCCTGAAACTTTGCGTAAATAATTAAAAATTTTGCTAAAATTCGGCTCTTTTGAATCTTGTTTATTCAAAAAATGGCTTCCTTGAAATATTAAAAAATAATAATTTCAAGGAAACAATTTTAATATAAATAAAAAGAGAATTTGAAAATATGCCATCCATTCCATTAAATTCATAAAATATTCTTCAACGTGTAGTTAGAAACGATCACCGGTACATGGCGTTGTCTTATTTTGCTGCTTTACTGTCAGACTTCAGAAGGGGAGTTGACAACAGTCGATACAATTAATGCTCATGAATTCCATCTCGTCTTGCTCATTTCAACCAAACTTAATTAGCCTTTATGGCTTAACATTAACTTAATAAATAAAAAAAAATACTCAAATCCCATTCGAAACCAAATCCAGCAGTCAGCCATATGGCCAAACGACACAAAAACGCATGCTAATGTCTCCATTTCCGCTAACTACTCCGTTGTATTCACGCCAATCCATATCCGACGACATTCATCGTCATCAACCGTATCACCGTCAAATCTTACCCCCTTAGAGCATTAAGTTTTTGCAGCTTCACGCATATCGGTGAAAAACGATCTTCCGCAGTCTTCCTACCGCTTTGAAGCGACGTGACGGTGTGGTGGAATGGTGCAACTGCGTTGATTGCTGAGTTTAGAGCCCCATCTGTCCGCGCAAATCGATGTCGTAACCGCTCCGCACACATTCAGCTCCACATCGACACACGTTGACATCCTGAGCGATCTTTTTTTTTGTCTCTCCTTCAACGGCCAGGTCCAAAGTTGAACGCGATAACTTATCGCGTAATGTCGCAAAATAGGAATCACTGCATATCGCGAGCGGTTACGACAAAAAAAAAACGAAACAGATCGCACAAATAATCCACATCGGATCGTGTGAAATTATTTTTCCTCGCTTTTCTTTGGTTGTTGGATGGAAGATGAAAAAAATCAGACCCTCAAGCCAAACTCACTATCTACCAACATCTGTCCGGCAGTCTCGGAATCAGAATCCGGGTTGACGTATGGGATGCATGTCGGTCCATAGCCGGTGCAGGGAGAAAAAAAAGAGACAAACAAGAGTGAAATAATTTATCGTGATCAATTTCCTGATGCAGATTTTTCTCCTTTACCGTACGTAAGGTAGCATGATATGCTTGATATTCATACGTTGATCCGGGCGACCAAAGGCATGTATGGGCAGCGTTTGGACCAGTTTTGGAATTATCCAGTACACAGTTTTCGCTCGAGTTTATCCCCCATAACAGCCCAGAGGAAAACAGTTTTCAGTAATGATAAAAAAATGCGTGCCAGGAAATGTGTTGTTGAATTTGTCACGTTAGCACGCACATTGTCACTTAGTGACTCGCTTATATGAGATTGAGCTAGGGATTTCTCTTTATTTGAACATTAGCCAAGCAAACCGTTGTGGTCTGTGATATGAAAATAGTGTAAAACATACAGCATACCGTGCAAATTACTTCAGCTTCAACAATTTAATCAACTCAACACCCTCCTCCTACCACCGAAAATAGCTATCATTATCAGTGCACTCCCTCGCCGAGCCACACCACTGCGTTTCCATCAGGTGGGGACACTCCTGACCTTGATCCTTCGAGTGCTTCACTATGACCCGAGTGCGGGTCCTCTTACCCAATCCACACAGCTGGCTACAGGCGCTCCACTCGGACCACTTGCTAACCTCGCAATCGTTGATCTGTTTGACGGTTTCGTTTTCTTGCTTCCTGTTGAACAAAGCCAACTTCTTCAGCAACCTCTTGCGTTGTTTGTTCTTCAGTTTCTTCATCTTCTTCTGTACATTGTTGGATCCGTGGTACTCATGAACCTGGTGTGAAACACATACAATATTAGTAAAGTAAAATTAGCATGACAATCCAGCAGATTTACCTTTGTGAATGAAACTTGCGCAATGACTGGGAGGTGTTTGATTTCCGGATAGAAGAAGCTACTGGCAAAGTGTTTCGGATACCGGGCTGTGATCTTCTCGATCACACCGGATGGATTCGTTGGCCATTTGGGTGAAGTGAAGGTCAATCCATTGCTGGTTCCAGCATCCAGAGGGTGCAAATCGACGGTCACGTCGTCAAGCCAATTCCCATCCGAGCAGAGCTGAAATTGTAAATATTACAAGAACATTCTTCTATAAAAGTAACTTTTCCCGCTGTACGATCTACTCACATTGTACGAGTCCAGTCCGACAAACCAATCCGGTGAGGGGACGATCTTGGTGATGAAGGAAATCTTGTGATGGCGGCCATCAACGAAGAATGTTCCCTGGGTAGAGCCAGCACCTTTGGTAATTTTCGGCAAATGGAACTCATCGTAGATAATGGCATTTTGACGGGCCAACTCCTCCTGCAAGGTGTGCGCATGGGCAGATTCGGCGAAAGCTTGAACCGCCGGCGACGCATATTCGTTCATTCGGAACAAATGGAACGAGTCGTTGTGGGATTGGCCTGAGAGCAGGGAAAATAAATTCAAACAAAAGAAAACAATTAACTCCAACGGGTTCCAACGGTATGCAAATCAGTACCAACAAACGTAATAACCTAAAGCCACCCTGACCTGCCCCAAGAAAGCTTTTAAAGGCTGACTAAATGTAAATTGGTACGCCCCTCGAGCGCCGCTAGCACGCCTCTAGTGTTGGGAATCGAAAATCTTTGACAGTAGTTTGTTTACCAGTGTTCACTCGGCTGTCGACAGAAGCAGGCCACTCTCGATGTGTGCCACGCGATCATCTGTTTTCGCGGCAGCAACCGTTGTGTGGTCCTCCTAATTGTTCTTCTTTAGCAGTTCTTTCGATCGATGCGTCATCGACTTTGGAAAGCAACCGTTTCGTGATGAGTTTGTAAGTGCTAACCACGTTTTGCGTCCATTGCTGCAATGGAAGCGCGCTGCCCCCCGATGGCGTAACTGCCATATAAGAAAATCACTGGAAGCGGCTCCAGTTCTGATGGAGGTGGCTTTTTGGATAGCGGAAGATAAAGTGTTTATTGTGTTGTACCTTTTGACTATAGTTTTAAGATGTATTGTATAGTGAACAAGCATCCTCGGCTCTTTAAAGTTAATTTGTTTGAGCCTGATCAAATAAATTAATAAACAACAAAAAGTTTGTTTACACTTCTATAGAGAACAACTGGTGCAAGTTTAATCAAAGTAATCGATCGCGTTCAGAAATAACGCAAAATGGAATTCGAAAGAAGAAAAAATATTGTGCACAAACACCTGAAAAATCCTGAGCGGTCCGGTTCCAAACTGGCTAAATTGCTGAAGATGCCGAAAATAAATGTTTGTCGAGTGCTCAAAACCTACAAGGAAACCCTAAATGTGGAAAGGAATCAGCAGATCTTCGAAAAAACTGGAACCAGGGGCAAAGTGTTGAGGTGCGTTAAAGCCAACCCCGGTCTTTCGATCCAAGATGTGGCCAGAAGGTACAACGCTAACTTTCAAACGGCGCGGAACATCCTTTCCAGGGAAGTATACAAGTCGTACAAAGCCAGTAAACATCCGAACCGACGCATTAAGTAGAATTCCGTAGCCAAAAAGCGTGCAAGGCTCTTGTACGACCGTGTTTTGACGAAACACAAGGGCTGCACTTTGATCGAGGTCGAAAAATACGTCAAAATCGATTTTAAGCAGCTTCCCGGTCAAACGTTTTATATCGCGACTGGACATGGGGATGTGCCGGGAAGATTCATGATCGTGTTTGCAGACAAGTTCGCGAAGAAGGCCATGATTTGGCAAGCGATTTGCAGTTGTGGCCTGAAAACGGAACCATTTGTCGCATCCTCGACGAGAACATCCCAAGTTTACATCGAAGAATGCCTGAAAAAGCGTTTATTGCCGTTCATCCGCAAGCACAGGGGCAAAGTCATCATTTGGCCCTATTTGGCCAGCTGCCACTACTCCAAGCTGGTTCTGGAGTGGTATTCTGCCAACAAGATCGATTTTGTCCCCAAGCTAATGAATCCTCCGAATTACCCGGAATTTCGAACAATCGAAAAATATTGGGCAATTTCAAAGCAGCGGCTTTGACGAAGCGGCGGGGCAGTCAAGGACATCCAGCAAATGCAGGCAAAATGGAAGAAATGCGCTGATTCCGTGCCCGTTTTCACTGTGCGGGCTCCGTCAAGAGTAAGGTTCGAGATTTCATTCGAACTGGAGAAATGTAACCATCTAATGCTGTAACTTTGAAGTTTTAATAAAAATACTGTAAAGCAACCATTAATGGACTGTTAAAACTTATTGAATCACGAATCACAGGTCTTTTTGTGCGTACCAATTTACTTTGAGTCAGCCTTTACAATTCCGAGTTGGTGCGTGCGCATTACTGGATGGTTGGTCACGTGCTCCACCGCACAGCTTAACTTCCATAAATCCATCCGTTGTGGTGAATGGTCTCGGCTCTTGGAGGCAGGTAATGTAATACCCACGCCTAATGGACTTGGCCAATGCAATCCACAGTTAATTCATTTCGACTTACCGCAGCTGCCAAGGGGTAACAAAATAAGTGCGTCCAATTCCTAACTTTGAGTGTGAGCGTATGGTGCCAAACGGTGCACAACATTGAATTAACGAATGGCAATAAGTAACAGTGAGTTGGCTCACGGAATAGTCGTAATAAAGTAGAGTAAGAGGCGAAGATTGATTATTTAGAGTGAGGAGACGCACGTGCCATTTCTCTGTTGACACGAGGGATCAAGTTGAATGAAAGATCGTTTTGTGGGGGGTACAAGTGGAGTCCATTTGAATATAGAAGTCAAGGCGATAGGGAATGCTGTTATATCTCAAGATGATCGTCTACATCCAATCGGAGGATGTAAGATTCGCTTACAATTATGTGGGATTCATCATCTGAGGATGGTAGTGGAGACCGCATGAACCGAGGATGCGATATCCCGAGCTGCAGAGCGCTACTTCGTCGTAATCGCCTACACAGCAAAAAATAATTTTAATATCACATCAAAGTGGATGCACTTCAATCGTGTCGAAAATATGGTGTAATATTACTTGACAAAAAGGACAAAATTATCATTAATACAGTGCATGAACTGACATTACGCTGCTTTTGCTGCATTTGTTTATTGTTGTGGCCATAAAAATTACATGAGATTTTCGGCATGATTGAAGTGCATCCTCTTGGATGTAATATTAAAATATATTGTTTGCTGTGTAATTCCGTTCTATCGATCTGAAAAGATCAATAACATCAATGATTTCTCCGTGCACAAATCAATAATAGGTTTGTTCCGATGCTTTAGTTCATAAGCTACAAAATAAATCCTGTTAGAGCGCATTGCATGAATATTTACGCTCATTGTTCTCAAAACAAACAAAAAAGCGCTCCTAGCGAATCTTTTTTTCTACGTTTATCCGTAGGACGAAGATAACCTAACGGTGCACAGTGGGAAAAAATCGACATAAAAGGAGCAAAATTCATTATTTCTGATCAGCGCTGATTTAACCTATGCAAATATAATCATTCTTGTGGGAAGAAGTCTCAGGAATCCAGTGGAAATAGTTTCGTCCGGTGCATAATGGGGCATGTTGGGGTTTTTGGAGCATTTTACTCAAACATGGCCAGAAGGCTACTCTCGGAGCCAGAAAAGATTGCAGAAGTTCTTAATGTGGATGCTGATATGATGAGAAACCTGCGTTTGATAAGCTGGAACCAATTTTTGAACAAGGACAAGTTAGCAGAGTTGTATAACATCTTAGAAGAGCTGGTATACACAGAGTTTCCGTTTAAAATAAATCTACCTCCATGTATTCATACCAACATTTAGCAGAATACGTGGTTAAGTTGGTAAGATCATTGGTTACTAATCTATGCATTATATACAAAATAATTTCGTTTCTTTTAAAGCTCTTTCGCTTGAGTTTTGCGGATGAACAAGCTGGTGAATCTTGCCACAAAAATTATAAATATTTTCGTCCCCATCTTGCTCGCACAACTTCTCCAGAGGCCAATTTGTCAGATTTGATGAAGTCTGCATTGGCTCGTTCAGACCCCAAGATCGGAACATTGGTTATGGCACACAGTTTCTAAACGAAGAAGATCTTCTGACGAAACATTCAGTCAAAAAATTAGAGAATATTTCATGAATCCTCAATGCGAACCTTGTAACAATGATGACGATTATGATGAATATGATAACTATAGTGACAGCCATAGTTTGGTGTAGAAAGCCCTAAACAAATACTTTGATCTTATGATTTCAGAAAATTTATATGGAAAGAAATCGAATTTTATATCAACTTCCTGCATCCTAACCCTGTCACTGTAAAAAAGATAAACTTTCAAGTATTAACCATGAATAAGCCATGAATACATGATTTCACGTTGCACGCATCGTAAACAGAATCGATTTGATCAGCAGGATTGATATTTTTCATTATTTTTCATCAAATCTAATATTTTTGTATTTTCTATTTACTGGTCCATAGAAATGGCGACCTCCGGTTACATAAAAACTTGGAAATTCTGCCAAATACCCCACAATATGGGTATTTTTGGAATCGGACTAACGTGTAAGAACCGGAAATTTGTCGGACGCCATTTCGAAATCCAAGATGGCGGCTTCCGGTTACAGAAAAATTGGCAAATACCACCACGTCACCCCGATTCTTAAGATACCCATATTTAACCCATGTTAATTAACATTATTTTTTATGTTTTTATGTAACCGGAAGTCGCCATATTGAATTTCAAAATGGCGTCAGACATGGGTGTTCAGTCCTAATAAGTCAACCCGATTCCAAAAAACCCATATTGCGGGGTATTTGACAGTATTTTCCAGTGTTTCTGTAACCGGATGTCACCATCTTGGATTTCGAAATGGCGTCACACATCGATTTCCAGTCCCTACACGATACTCGGAAATCCCGATTCCAAAAATACCCATATTGTGGGGTATTTGGCAGAATTTCCAAGTTTTTCTGTAACAGGAAGTCGCCATATTGGATTTCAAAATGGCGTCAGACATCGATTTCCGGTCCCTACACGTCACCCTTATTCCAAAAATACCCATATTGTGGGGTATTTGACAATATTTTCAAAAACCTATTTTTACAAAATAAATCCCAAATAACAAGTTTTCTTTTTACGAAGTAGATCCCAAATAACGATTTTTTTTTACGCTCTAATTCGATTTACGAACCCCCGTTTTGGTTCGTAAATGGAGGTTCCAGTGTAATACAGTACACGAGGGTATGGTTTGACAGGCACTAACGCGTATAACCGTGTAACACTACTGATTAACATATTGTGTTGGAGTGTTCGACTGTGAGGTTTTACAATAAACAGTTTCCGAGACGTGGCCAACAATTTCTAGGCCCTTATTGTTGAGAACAATCAAGCGCTTTGGAATTTCGGGTTCTGCATACAAATGGTTTGAAAGCTATTTATCTGACAGAACACAAAGGACTGTTTTTAATGATTTTGTATCTTGTCCCG